CAGGTCCTAGGCTCTGTGGTTTAACCCACAGCGCCACCCACGTCCCTTTTAAGTGTAGTACAAAACCATAATTAAACATGCTATCGCCCAGCTACCACCAGTCCCAGATCACTCTGGGTGGACCTGACCTCGATCAATTCAGGGTTGCCTCTACCTATTCCATGAAACTCCAGACTCGCAGCAGCCACATTCGGTTCGGGAGCTGAGATTTACCCAAAGTCAATGCTCAGTCTTAGTTTCTGGTAGCATTCTGTGGTTGCAAGACATCCAAATGATGTGGATGGGGGAGTTAACAGTTTGGAATCATGCTCTACGATGGTCAAGAACATTGCAACAACTCTTGTCTTCATCCCAAATCTGTCTGTTGAGACCTTAAGCTGTTCCCTCACAGACACACCACCAGCAGTTTCTACAATGGCAAATTTGGGGTTGGTTTTTCTGTTGGCTTGGTTCATCATCAGGCTAAGCCTATTTAACCACAATTTAATTGGTTCCCTTGAGTTTTTATTGCACGTTGTTTCCACCTAGCACAGCTGTCTAGCCAGATCATTTCTGGCAAAATTGTTTCTCTCCCAGCCCCCTCCCAGCCTCTGCCCCTTTTCTGAGGCGCCTTTGCTTCCTTCCAAAAGTTTTTAAAGAATATATTTTTAGTGTCATTTTTCCATTGGCAAGCTATTAAGCCCAAAATGTTGTATGCCTGAGGAAAACAGTTCTGCTTTCCATATGGAAGTCGGGATGGGCTGTGGGAGGGAGAGAGGGAGAACTTTTGTCGTCTTCCAAAGAGGAAGGGTCAAAAGTAAGCTTGTTGATTCATTTTGGAAATTTATATGCCACCTTGCAGATCAGAGTTTTCTCAAGGTGGCTCAACAATGAACGCAACAGATTTGGAAATAAGTGTCTAAGAACAATTTATCTTAACACAAAACAATTTCAAATGAGACCAGTAAAAATCATGCTACTGTTTCAACAGGTGGAAAAGCTAAGGGCCAACCAGAAGTCTGAGGAAAACCGACAAGGACATTAGTATTCTCCTGAGGTTTCCAGCAACTAATACTCAGAAGTATTACTGCCTTCAGCCAGGCAGGAAGAGCAGAGCCCTCGTGACTAGTAACCACTGACAGCCATTGAAGTTCAGAAGGACCCCTCAGTTGGCAGTTTTCAATAGGAGACGATGCATATACTCCACTCCATCCAATACCTCATGGACCACCTCTCTTTATCTGAACCAATCCAGACCCTGTGAACATCATGTGTTGTCCTTTTTAGTGCACCTCCTCCACGAGAGGTTTGGAGGGTGGCAACACGAGAGCCTTTTCTGCAGTGGCTCCCCATTTGTGGAATGCTCTCCCCAGGTGGCGCTGTGGGTAAAACCTCAGCGCCTAGGACTTGCCGATCGCATGGTCGGCGGTTCGAACCCCGCGGCGGGGTGCGCTCCCATCGTTCGGTCCCAGCGCCTGCCAACCTAGCAGTTTGAAAGCACATTAAAGTGCAAGTAGATAAATAGGGACCGCTTACCAGCAGGAAGGTAAACGGCGTTCTGTGTGCTGCGCTGGCTCGCCAGATGCAGCTTGTCACGCTGGCCACGTGACCTATAGAGTGAGATGAGCGCACAACCCTAGAGTCTGGCAAGACTGGCCCGTACGGGCAGGGGTACCTTTACCTTTACCTTTACCTTTACCTTTACCTTTACCTTTACCTCTCCCTGGCGCCTTCATTACAGGTGAAAACATTCCTCTTCAACCAGGCCTGGGGCTGATTGATATCAGATGCCCTTTTAAATATGTTGTAGGAGAAGAGTTTATTGGTTTGTTGTTGTTCTGACTTTTATTATGTATTTGGCCATTTTTTATATTGTATTTTTATGCTGTGAACCGCCCTGAGATCTATGGATGAAAGGTAGTTGTTTCTTCTTCTTCTTCTTCTTCAGAACCAGTTGTACACTTCCACCCAATCCAAGTTATGGCAAGCTCTCACTGTCTGAACTTTCCAGAAACAATTGAATGCATTTTTGTCTCCCACAGACTTTCCCAGCTGGTTAAATAGGTCTTTACCATGAATGTCCGCTTGCTAGGGTGTTAGTCTTGTTTTAAACGTGTTTGTTGTTCTTATGTTGGCTGGTTTAATGATGTTCTATGCAAATTTCCTTGAGATGGAGGTTTAGAAGGCTATTAATAAGTCAGTAATAACTTCCCTACCCACAGTACATCTCTTTTCACTGAATTAAGTTTCAGTTTCTTATCATTCCAAACTTTCATCCAAATAACAGAGTCTAGGGCAGGGATGAAGGGACAAAACCTGGCATTTGGCAGTTTTGATCTGATCAAGCTTTGCTCACATTGGGAAGCCTCTTAGATCTAGTGTGCTTATGTCTGAGCAACTGATGTAACATCAGTTTCCATGCTATGCTAGATTTTTGCAGCATAATTCATATTTTTACATAGTTACACACACTGTTCTATGTATCTGTTTATGTGCTAGTTGAAGTTGTATTCAGCTAAGCCCTACTCGGAGCAGATCCACTGAAATTAATGATCCTACGTTATCCAGGCCCATTAACTTCAATGGGTCTACTCTGAGTAAGACCAGCATTGAATACCACCACCACCCTGTGTATCTCTGAGAGCATGTCTGTTTAATACAGAAATGGTGCCACAGTTATCAGACGTTTGGGAAATGCTATGTGAACTGTGATGATGTTTGCCTTCAGATAAAATCCACCTAAATTTAGCAGGCCACGGTTTTTACAGCTCAGTCGCTTTAGTCCAGCCTTCTCCAACCTGGTGCCCTCCAGATGTTTTTGACTACAGTGGTGTTGGCTGGGAACTGTAGCCTGAAACATCTGAGAGGGCTTCAGGTTGATGAAGCCTGCTGTAACCATTGTCTTGGAACAACCTTTCCACCCAGCCCCTCTTTTAATGAGTTGTTTTCTCTTCTTCTGCAGTCACACAGAACTTAATCCATAATGCAAACCCAACATGCAATCCCTTAAAAACACACACAAAGAAAGCAGGCAACCCAGAACACTGGGGCCTTCCTTAATCCTCTTAACTTGCCGAAAGATTTTTCCCTCTCCTCACACCTCTTGCTTCCTACTTAAGGCTGTCGGTGTGCCTCCATCCTCCCAACCTCCCACCACTTTCCCTTTCTTTGTCTTCTGGTTACATCTAAGCCCTTGGCAGGGATGAAAAGCACAAAATCTACCCCTAACAGATGAGCTCTGAAGGATGGCTTACATGTTTTGTGGAAGGAAATTGAACACGTTTTCTTAATTACCACATCCAATTGCACACAACTTTCCCTCTTTATCAAAGGAACCTCACTGGGGGTTTTTTATTGTAGAATTGTGGGGTTGGAAGGGATAAATTATTATTATTATTATTATTATTATTATTATTATCATCTCAAGGGTCATCTAGTCCAACCCCCTGCAATGAAGGGATTTCTACTGAATCGTAGCTATGGGGGGTCGCATAACTAGCCCATTTGCAAAGAAAGCTTTTTCATCTTTTCACTTTCATTGACTGATCTTAATGCTACAGCTCATCTTCTTGAGCCCAGGTCACCCATTTTCTCCCCCACCAGTTTATCTGGTTGGTGCAAACCTACACACCCAACTGGGAATCTTACTGGAGATTTTGGTAACTGGAAGTGGATGCACATGCATCAAAGTGAGAAATGTCTGGTTATTTGGAGAATTTGTGGGAAGTCTGACTGAGCAATCTAAATGATAGAAAACCAGCTTTCTTTACGCTGGGGTAGATTATGCCATTGTAACATACAGTGGTACCTCGGGTTACATATGCTTCGGGTTACAGACCCCACTAACCCAGAAATAGTACCTCGGGTTAAGAACTTTGCTTCAGGATGAGAACAGAAATCGTGCAGCGGCGGCACAGCGGCAGCAGGAGGCCCCATTAGCTAAAGTGGTGCTTCAGGTTAAGAACAGTTTCAGGTTAAGAATGGACCTCCGGAATGAATTAAGTGCTTAACCCGAGGTTACCACTGTACTCCTATTCCACACCCAACCCTCCAGCCTATTCCCATCACAGCACCCCTTTGTGAGACCTACCCTGATCTCAGTTTAGCCATAATGGAGGACTTATGCCAGCTGAGTTCAGCCCAAGCTCTAATTTAATACCTCTCAGGTTTCTATTTTTTATATATTTAAAAAATGGCACACAGTGAGGTTCTGTTATTTTCTTCCTCTCTGGGAGAGATTGGCCCAGGAAAATGACTAATAAGTAAGTGTAAATAAATAAACTTCTATGTACACAATGCCCATGCCAGAGAGAAGCGTTTGGTTTAGGCTTCCCCTCAATCTGCTGTTTTCAAAGTGCAAGGAGTTGTGTTTATAAACAGAAAATGAATTTCAAATGTGCAACCTTTCCTGTATCTCCCCTGTAGCCAGAAGAAGGTGGTACAGTCCACTTTCAAACACCAGTTTCAAACAAACAGGCACCACTTTTATGGTGTGTCAGGATTCAAATCCACATCAGCTCCGGTATTTTGGGCCAGAGGTGCAGAGGTCCGGGGTTGTTGGGTTTGTGTGGAAAGCTAGTTATTATTTCTGCAGCATAGTCTCAGCGGGGTCCTTGTCTCCAGTTTCTGAAAGCCACCCAATCAGCATGGAAGGGCAGCTTTCAAGCCACCGAGAAAAAGTCTTCTTGCTCTTTTGTTGTGATTGGAGCCAATCAGGGTGAAAGGAAGCGGGTCAGCCACTGAGGATTGGCTCCTAGAGTCACTCTGGAGAAGGCGCACAGGAAGAACACGGAGAAGCTGTTGACCTGTATGCTTCAAAGCTAAACATTTAGGAACATTGAAAGCACAATTTCAAGAGGATGCTGCGCAAGTTCTGTTATGTACAATGAAATTTCAAGGAAAGAACAACTTAAGTTGCTGCAAAAGTAGATATTGGAGTACTCCAAATCATTTGCCCATGCAAGATCTAGCTGAAATACAGCATGTTTAGGGAAGTTTTTAAAGTTTGAAGTTTTATCCTGTTTTTAGTGTTCTGTTGGGAGCCATCCAGAGTGGCTGGGGAAGCCCAGCCAGATGGGCGAGGTATAAATATATTATTATTATTTATATTTATATTTATATTTTTATTTATTTATTTATTTATTTATTTATTTATTTATTGTACCCCGCCCATCTGGCTGGGTTTCCCCAGCCACTCTGGGCGGCTTCCATAGAAGCCAAAAATACACTAAAATATCACAGATTAAAAACGTCCCTGAACAGGGCTGCCTTAAGATGTCTTCTGAATGTCAGGTAGTTATTTATCGCTTTGACATCTGATGAGAGGGCATTCCACAGGGCGGGCGCCACTACTGAGAAGGCCCTCTGCCTGGTTCCCTGTAGCTTTGCTTCTCACAACGAGGTAACCGCCAGAAGGCCCTCGGCGCTGGACCTCAGCACCCAGGCAGAACGATGGGGGTGGAGACGCTCCTTCAGGTATACTGGGCCGAGGCCATTCAGGGCTTTAAAGGTCAACACCAGCACTTTGAATTGTGCTTGGAAAAGTACTGGGAGCCAATGTAGGTCTTTCAAGACCGGTGTTATGTGGTCTCGGCGGCCGCCCCCAGTCACCAGTCTAGCTGCCGCATTCTGGATTAGTTGTAGTTTCCGGGTCACCTTCAAAGGTAGCCCCACATAGAGCACATTGCAGTAGTCCAAGCGGGAGATAACCAGAGCACGCACCATTCTGGCAAGGCAGTCTGCAAGTAGATAGACAATATGTCCCTGAACAGCAGTTGCAGGTAGGGTCTCAGCCTGCGTACCAGGTGGAGTTGGTAGACAGCTGCCCTGGATACAGAATTGACCTGCGCCTCCATGGACAGCTGTGAGTCCAAAATGACTCCCAGGCTGTGCACCTGGTCCTTCAGGGGCACAGTTACCCTATTCAGGACCAGGGAGTCCTCCACACCAGCCTGCCCCCTGTCCCCCCAAAACAGTACTTCTGTCTTGTCAGGATTCACCTTCAATCCATTAGCCGCCATCCATCCTCCAACCGCCTCCAGGCACTCACACAGGACCTTCACCGCCTTCACTAGTTCTGATTTGAAAGAGAGGTAGAGCTGGGTATCATCTGCATATTGATGGATACCCAGTCCAAACCCCCTGATGATCTCTCCCAGCGGCTTCATATAGATGTTAAAAAGCATGGGGGAGAGGACGGAACCCTGAGGCACCCCACAAGTGAGGGCCCAGGGGTCTGAATACTCATCCCCCACCACCACTTTCTGAACACGGCCCAGGAGGAAGGAGCGAAACCACTGTATAACAGTATAACTGTATAACATTATTATTAGGAAACCTGTGTTGATCTTTGCAATGCTTCCATATTGTTGTTGTTGTTGTTGTTGTTGTTGTTGTTGTTGTCTAGTCTCAGAAGGAGGCATGGCTGTGACTAACCTGATGGGACCCTGCACTTCTGAATGTACCACTACACAACTGCTTGTGGTCTGAACAATATGAGGCGGCAATGCAGGATGGCGAATCTGAGTGTCTTACACTGTTGTAGGTGATGAGGAAATAACCAACATCTTGTGGCACTCAAAGATGATGCAAGTTGAGGCTCTGAATTTAATTCACCACAACCACAGCTGCTTCATGCTGTGAATGTGTCAAGGGAGATGAGCTTCTCCAAACAGTCAACACTTAGAGGCTGTGCACTGGGTAGCAATGATGTTGACACGAGACCCAACAAAACATCAGTGCCAAAGTGTAAGAGTTGACTTTGTTTCGCAAGTGGAAGGGTGCAAGGTTAACAGCCACCAAGTGTGATGATAATAATAATAATGGCAATTGCACTGGGGTTGCACAATGCCTTTTTATGAGCACAAGATTAGAATCGGCTGTTGAGCTACGCAAAGAACGAAGCTCCTGCTCTAGACCAGCCTTTGTCAACCTGGTGCCCTCCAGATTTGGGGACTACAATGGCTATCAGCCACAGCCTGGTTTAGGCTAGAGGAAGCTGTGGTCTAGAAGATCCAAAGGGCACCAGGTAGGCCAAGGCTGTCCTAGTGGAATGGCTGTTGTGCAATTTGCCATGTTTGTTTGTTTGTTGAATTTATATACCGCTCTATACCTGGAGGTCTCAGGGTGGTTCCTAACCCCCTATTTATCACAGATTCAAGAACTATTAATGGGCAGGAGAAAATCCATTTGCTAATTCCAAACTACAGCCTCAGTTAAATGATCCTGTACAGCCCTTCCGAAATTATACCATTTAGTCTGAGCACTGGTATAAAGCAGCTTCCCATTTGTCCAAGCTAGCAGGACCCCTAACAGAACATTTTCAGCTCCCTTGTGAAACTATACTCAGTCTCAGTAGTCAACTAGCATTTTGTTTTGTTTGGGGGAATTAAGATGCACCCTCCTCTTTCTGAAATGGTACAGTCACTGGAAGGTTGTATCATATATTGTTTTCACAGCATCTACATTAGCTTTCGTTCTCCATAGTCTCACATGCACTAGGAGCAGATGTGTAGTAATAAATTTGCTGGGAGAAAATAGCACTCGTGCCTACTTGTTTCCCAAGGAGGGCATCGTGTGATGAAGGAAAATGTGTGCGTAAGAATGTCTCTTAGGTTTCATGTCAGCTTCTTCCTAGAAAACTATGTTTTATGTCATGGGCTGGCGGTAAATTGGAACCATCCATGAGGCTGCATTAGTTTTGCACCACCTGATGGTCACCCTGTCCCAGATGCCTCCCTTCCTTTTATCTCTGCTGGAGCGAGGAAAGAATTTGAGGGTACCCAAAAATAAAATGAGTTTGTTGAGCATCCTTAGATATACCAGCCAAAGCAGTTCCCAGCATCTGCATCCTGAATTGATTCATTCATGCTGCAATGAATACCTGTGGTTTCTGCATTCTCAGACCCTCAGGGGTAAAAAGAGACTGAGCAGAATGAAACTATATCTAATACAGAGATGGATCCGTTCTTAGTCCTTAACTCAGAGTAGACCCATGCATTCATTTTTGTAGGCTTAATTTTATGGAACTCCTTTCTAGCTGGGGACATTAAGACGAGAATTCCAAAAACAGGTTGTTCTGCATCCACCCAGTTTCAACACTTCCCACTGAGGCTTTGTCATTCTCTTGGAATCTGCCATAATAATAATAATAATAATAATAATAATAATAATAATAATTTATTATTTGTACCGTGCCCATCTGGCTGGGTTTCCCCAGCCACTCTGGGCGGCTTCCAACAAAGATGAAAAATACCGGTACATTAAAATGTCACACATTAAAAACTTCCCTGAACAGGGCTGCCTTCAGATGTCTTCTAAATGTCAGGTAGTTGTTGTTCTCTTTGACATCTGGTGGGAGGGCGTTCCATAGGGTGCCACTACCGAGAAGGCCCTCTGCCTGGTTCCCTATAGCTTTGCTTCTCGCAATGAGGGAACTGCCAGAAGGCCCTCGGCGCTGGACCTCAGCGTCTGGGCAGCAGACGCCTCACAATGAAGAAGCAGAGAAAGACAAGCCACAAGTCAGTGGTAGGGCATTAGTTTTGCATACAGAAGCTCCAGGGAGAGCTGCCTGTGTGAAACCCTCGCAGAGCTGCTGCCACTCAGTGTAGACAATAGTGAGCTAAAAGGACTAAGGGTCTGTCTTGGTCTAAGACAGCATCCTACGTCCATTCGAAGAACAACAAAAGATGAATTCACATGAGCACGACGAGCTCAGCCTAAAGACTTTGGATGTCCTACATCTGATATGGCTGTGTTGTTGGGAGTTGCAGTATACATCTGAAAGGTACCAGGTTAAGGAAGGCTGGTCTGGGTGAGCTGTGGTGGAGGAGAGAGGTGCTGTTGCACTCTGGGCTTCCCATAGACATAAAGGTAAAGGTAAAGGGACCCCTGACCTTTAGGTCCAGTTGTGATCGACTCTGGGGTTGCGGTGCTCATCTCGCTTTATTGGCCAAGGGAGCCGGCGTACAGCTTCTGGGTCATGTGGCCAGCATGACTAAGCCGCTTCTGGTGAACCAGAGCAGCGCACGGAAACGCCGTTTACCTTCCCGCCAGAGTGGTACCTATTTATCTACTTGCACACTGACATGCTTTCAGATTGCTAGGTTGGCAGGAGCAGGGACCAAGCAACAGGAGCTCACCCCGTCGTGGGGATTCAAACCACCGACCTTCTGATCGGCAAGTCCTAGGCTCTGTGGTTTAACCCACAGCGCCACCCGTGTCCCATCCCATAGACATATCCGCTATGAAAAACAATATGCTGGGCTGGATCATACCCTACAAGCATCCCAGAAAAACTGGGACATCCATGTAAGAGCATGGCAGCTAAAAAAAAGTGCATCTTTTGGGCGTCGTGATCTCACGTGGGTCACGTGACTTGCATGGGAGCACAGATGGGAAGACATGTATCCTGGTTTGGGGATTCAGCATGTTGGAGGTTACGCTAGATGGGTCAGATCCAGCAGAACTCTTCTTAAGAAGATAAGAAGAGCCTACAGGATCAGGCCCATGGACCATCTAGTTCAGCATACTGTTCTCACAGTGGCCGACCAGTTCAAATGTTCTGACGGACAGGCAATGCCATAGGAACCAAGTTTCCATCACCCTTCTCTCTCCCCCCCCTCTGCTTTTTTACAAGGAGCAAATTTATAAAGCATGTTAAACACTTTACAAGGAACACTGATTCTTTCCAAAATGTTCAAGAACACAAGGCCCTGTTCCTGCCAGGATTCAGCTGACGCATGCAAGGACCAGGGCGGGGGGCGGGGGATGGAGACACGGGCATTGTCCAAGGAGTCTGTGCCAGTTGGGGGGGAGAAAGGACTATTTGTAGATCAAGCGCTCGAGAGATTAAGATCTCCTCTGGATTTTATTACCAAGTGTTTGCGTGAAACAGACTCATTTTAAGACTGATAGAAAATCAGATGTTGGGGTGTGTAATAGCACCGTTTCCAAGAAAAACGAAGCAAATGGGCTGATATTGAGTTGTGGGGGGAGACAGAAAAGGGATCTAAAGCTCTGAGTAAGTTGTTGCCTTTTAATGTTTCCAGGAAATTACCATAACCTTTAAAATGTTGGTATTTTGAGATGCTGGTAGAGGTTTGTGGGATTCTCTTTTCTTTTGTTTTGAAGGAAGATCAACTCTTTAATAAGAAAAGTCTGAGTTGTGACAGCAGACTATCATTTCCAGATTTACTTAAATAACTTTTCTCCTGCATACATGATTTCTCCTGCATACATGATTTGGCAAAGGCAGAGGACCAGCTCTCCAGTCCACTGGCCTCCACTAAACATACAAAAAAAAATTACAAATATGAAAGAAAGCTTTGATGGTCATGTGATCTGAGCCAAAAGTGTTTTAAAAAAAAATATTGAAAAAGTGTGTGCTCAGTTCCTTGATGTTCCTGTGGAGGAACTTTGAAGAATCTATAAAGTGTTGCAGGAATTCCTTCAGGAGGAATTGATGTTATATTGGTTTGTTTTATTATGTATTTGGCATTCTCATTTCATATTTTTATGTTGTAAACTGCCCTGTGATCTTTGGATGAAGGGCGGTATACAAATTAAATAACAACAACTTACTTAAATTTGTATCCTTCCCTTCATCATCATCATCATCATCATATTTTAGATCCTTTAGCCACCATATCTTTCCCAGCATATGTATACAGGAAAGGTCTGTTATGAGCAGAAAGAGATGTTTTCTAGCAAATGAATATTTCCAAGGCTTGGTCTTGGAATATTTTCAAGGTTAGATGGGGGGAAAGAAAAGAAAGCAAGAATTTTAATGCTTGTCAATTTCCTCTCATCGCTTGGCGGGGAATTATAGGCAATCAGGTAATTACACTCACAGAGCAATAACTTATCGTTCATAACTGTCTGTTTGTATTCATGCTAAGACAGAACACTTTGGACTAACCAGTTTGGTTTTACTGTTATGTGAATGTGTGTGTGCGTATTTTGCCATACATTCACGGACTTCCCTCCAAGACTAATTTAACTCACCCACCATTCCTGCATATTTTTATATATCCATCTAATTCTATTTTCCTATCTTACATCACTTTAATATGTATTGAATTGACAATTTCAGTATAGCTGTAGAACTTGGTCTATCAGTGAGAAAACAGGTGCAGCTGAAGCGTGCAGAGCCTGTGTAGCAATCTGTTTAGGGTTTCCATATTTCATTAGTCCAGCAAGCAGAACTATATTCTGTTAGGCAACCAGTGCATGGATCTAAAACACCAGATTTTTGTCAAAGCTCACCCATGACCCACCAGACTCCACCATGGCCCTACCCAGATCCACCAGATTCTCCAAGCTTCACCTGTAGCCTGCCATGTTCCTCCAAGATCCACCCCGATTTTCTATCATTTTCGTCGAAGCTGGGGATACGTATAGGAAGATAGCAATCTCCATTCTGACCTGTCTTTGTCGCAACCAACGCCCTTTCCGTTCCACTGCATTTGGTTTCTGCCAAATGCTGCACTGTTCGTCTTACTGTCTGCACTTTAACACAATTTACATGATTATTTGTGTAATTTAAATAACCTAGATCAACAACATACTTCCCCCCACACCATTCATTTCAGTGCAAAAGAAACACAATTTAAATAGGGGAAATCAATTGTGTATTGTTTGTGGACTGGAACCAAGGAGAGCAGTGAAACTGACCCATATTCACTGGATTGATTTCCATTCCAGGCATGGGATGAATAAGCGAGCACCAGAAATTTCTGCTTCTGTTTCCATTTTCAGTGGAATTCTATGACACCCCATTGGAATTCTCCAAGCTCAGCGCATGATCTAGCACATTCCTCCAAGCTCCATCTCTGAACTGTCAAGTTTCACTTTAGCTCTGTTCACGGCAATGGCATTTTTCAAAATCAATTGCCAGACACAACCATAAATCCAATGAAATAGTAGGTCAGTCACTTGCTGATTCCACCAAGCAAGACCCTTCTGGTGTCTTCATTTTTCTAAAAAAAGAGGAAGGAAAAAGAGGCATTAGTGATGCATTAATTAAGAGAAAACCAAATGAAGCTCACAATTTGCAATCACTATGGCAGGCACCCCCAAACTCAGCCCTCCAGCTGTTTTGGGACTACAGTTCCCATCATCCCAGGCCACTGGTCCTGTTAGCTAGGGATGATGGGAGTTGTAGTCCCAAAACAGCGGGAGGGCCGAGTTTGGAGATGCCTGCATTGTGGTCATCTGGCTCCTCACACCATCCTCCTTAAAAGGGAAAGAGAAGTAATTTAGTTTGATTTTTATTTTAATGTAATCTCACCTAATTTATAATTCCTGAAAAACATATGCAAACCAAAATGCACCATTCCTTTGAAAGTCACACTTTTTTGAATAAAAATATTTTCCTCAAAAAAAAGTGTAAAATGTGCATAAAATTAGTGAAAACAGCATACAAAGGACAAATGTACAAATCTACTATTAAGAGAAACATACACTAATATGCTGACAGGTTGTTTTTTACAAGAGCTTTGAAAAAGAACTGTAAACTGGAAATGTGGCAACCTGAACTTGAGACTGGAATAATGAGAAATTGAAACTGACGGATTTGCCTATCCCTGCTCCTTAAGTGGAGAAGAAATTGATTTTGTGCAACAGAATGATTTTGGGATGAGCGCTGGAATCTTTTAGGCATAATCATTGTTGACTAGTTGGAGCAGCCCGGACAGCAATTACACGTTCCACAGCTTCTCTGCAGCTCCGTGCCAGAACTATGCCGTGAACGGGGCGGGGGGGGGGGAAGATGGATTTCCTCAATCTTCCGGCATTGTTCTGAGATGGACATCTGCATCCCTCGCCTTGTTTCCTTTCACAATGCAGAACAATGCCTGGTTTCTCAAATGCGAGTGGCTTCTTATCATGCTGCCGGTGAACCACTGGTTCTTGTGGTCAACACAAAATGCATTAATAGGAATATGTGGCCCCAAACTTTTGGCATGAGTAGAGATTGTGGCTTAAATAACTTAGGAATGCTGTTATTTATTATTACATTTATATCGCACCTTTCCTCAAAGGAGCTCAAGGTGGCGGATGTGGTTCCCCACCCCCCATTTTATCCTTACAACAACCTTTGTGAGGTGGCTTAGGCTGAGAAGCAGTGAACTTCATGGCTGAGTCAGGATTTGAATATGGGCCTCCCAGGCCTAGTCCAGCACTCTAACCACTGACAATACCGGGCAGCAGACTGATGGTGCACAAAACAAATAGGAAAACAGTGTCTCCCAAGCTGTGAAACCTCAACACACTCCTAATCAGCATAGCAGCAATTAATCCAGCATGCGGCAGCTAGACTGGTGACTGGGAGCGGCTGCTGAGACCATATAACACCGGTCCTGAAAGATCTTCATTGGCTCCCAGTACGTTTCCGAGCACAATTCAAAGTGTTGGTGCTGACCTTTAAGGCCCTAAACGGCCTCGGCCCTGTATACCTAAAGGAGTGTCTCCATCCCCATCGCTCAGCCCGGACACTGAGGTCCAGCACCGAGGGCCTTCTGGCAGTTCCCTCATTGCGAGAAGTGAGGTTACAGGGAACAAGGCAGAGGGCCTTCTTGGCAGTGGTGCCTGCCCTATGGAAAACCCTCCCAGTCAATGTCAAGGCAATAAACAACTATTTTACTTTTAAAAGACAACCGAAGGCGGCCCTGTTTAGGGAAGTTTTTAATGTCTGATGCTGTATTGTTTTTAATATTCGGTTGGAAGCTGCCCAGAGTGGCTGGGGAAACCCAGCCAGATGGACAGGGTATAAATAATAAATTATTATTATTATTATTATTATTAGAGAAAAGGGAGGGAGGGAGGATTCCCCACCCCCATCATCTTATCTTCTGGTCCATCCACAAATGCAGCACTTACCACCTAAGAACATCAGAAGATCTTCATAGACCATCTAGGTAAAGGTAAAGGGACACCTGACCATTAGGTCCAGTCGTGACCGAGCCGTGGGGTTGCGGCGCTCATCTCGCTTTATTGGCCAAGGGAGCCGGCGTACAGCTTCTGGGTCATGTGACCAGCATGACTAAGCCGCTTCTGGCGAACCAGAGCAGCGCATGGAAACGCCGCTTACCTTCCCGCCGGAGCGGTACCTATTTATCTACTTGCACTTTGACGTGCTTTTGAACTGCTAGGTTGGCAGGAGCAGGGACCGAGCAACAGGAGCTCATCCCATCGTGGGGATTTGAACCGCCGACCTTCTGATCAGCAAATCCTAGGCTCTGTGGTTTAACCCACAGCGACACCCGTGTCCCAGACCATCTAGTCCAACCCCCTATTCTCAAAGTGGTCAGTCAGATGCCAGACCTCACTAGGAAGGACATTGTGGATAACTGAGATGCCCAGAAACATAGAAAGCTGTCTTATTTTGTGTCAGGCCATTGGTCCATCTATTCCAGTCTACACTGACTGGCAGAAGCTATCCAGGGTTACAGGCAAGGGGCCCTCCTAGCCCTACCTGCAGATGCTTGGATTGAACCTGCAACCTTCTGTATACCGCTGAGCTCCGTTCCTTCCCCAGAATTTATGCTCCAGGTGAGACTTGAACTCACAATCTCAGCACTGCTTAGTGGTGTAAATAGAGTGTACTCACTAACTGCACCACTGGAGCCGAAAATTCTCACAAGCTTGCACACAGGGAAATTATCTGAGCTTTCCCCCATTCTCCAGCCAGAAAAGTTAGTGTAATTTCTGAGCTAATCTGGGGGGGGCGCCTTTGGAAAGCTTGCCCCTCTCTAGTTGGTAGCTCTTGAGCCTTGTGGGAGCCTGGAGTCAGGCCAGGGTGTGCTCAATCTTTTGCTACTCCAGATCAGTTTCTGGAGACCTCTGCCATGACTTCATCCCACCAGCCTTGACAAAGCACAGCTTAGGTTTCTTCACTGCTGCTTTCCCAGATCAGTGTTCTTTAAAAAGGAAAAGAAAAAAAAGCTCAGCATGCAAAATGAGCGTTGTGGACCAGACTTTGCATAACACTCGGTTATTAGAAACAGCTCTTCATGTCAGCCACAGCCTTGCACGACGTTTCTCAGCCAGCTGAGAAAGAGTGTGGCCCTGGTACGTGAGAAACCCAAGCTGTTATAGAGCTCATTTTGCCACTCTTGAGAAGACCCTGGGGCAGATGATGTGTAAGGAACCACTGAGCCAGTAATTCCACGGATAGGAGCGCCAGTTCTTTTTTCATGCCTGGGTTCTGAGTGGATCTGATGCCAGTGCCTAGCCGATAAACACCATTTCTTCGTGTCACTTTACACTCCTCAGCAGATGTTTCTGCTTTTCAGAGTAATGGAAATTTTATGGGCCATTTTCGTTCTCTTCCTCCTCTTCCAAGCTGTCCTCCTCCTCCTCCTCCTCCATCGCCTGAGGTCCGCGCATCAGATGTTTGATTTGATAGAGCACAGCAGTTATCTAAGGCAAATGTCCACCCATCCTCAGGTTGAAATTCCGTAGGAAGCTTCTGCTGAAAATCAAAATTGAGTCACCTGTGAACTAAGGTCAAAAGGGAGGAAAGCAGGGGCCATGCTCCTTAAATCATTACACTTCTATCCCAATCTTCCCATAGGAGAAGTTTATGAAAATCTAGTCCTTACAGATTGAATGTGTACCTCTATCCACCAACCATTGGAAAGAAACTTTCATTAAACTAGCTGTACAAAAGCCTTAAGGGAAAGTCATTTTTCATATCCAAGGAGGGATCTTGCCACAGTATATATGCACCCAACTCCACCCCTAAAATTGGGTTGTTCTAGGACAGTGGCTCCCAAAGTGGATGGTCTCACCCCCTGGGATTACATAGAGGGAAACTACAAAGCAAGGAGGTGGCAGGGGTGCTGGAGGGGTTAATGACTATCAGATTTTGAAATGTTGGCATCACTGGATCGAGTTCATCACTTTTGTTGAATTAATTAAACTAGTTTTTACTGGATTTTGAATCAATGTGCAATTAATTGTCCCTGTTGTGAATTTCATTGCGCTATTATCTTCCTTTGTTGGTCGTGCAAAACCACTCTTCTGAATAATGCTTTTTGTATGGATTATGGAATCCAGACTACAAAAAAGTGAGAAACCGAGAGAAATCAAAATTGAGAGATTCGCCCAACCTTTCTCTCTTTTTTTAATATATAATTTTTATTGATTTTAACATATAAATTATAAAACATACCACAAAACTTATCACACATACAATCTTTTTAGACTTCCATCAGTACCTCTGAAGATCCACCGTTTTAACCACTTCTTATGCATTTCTTAACTTATATTGCCTTTAAGTCTTTTAACAAATCATCCTTCCCCTTGTACATTTTAGCAATAATTCCAATAATACTCCTCACAAAACTTCTTGCAAACCTACAAACGTCATCTGGTCTTCACAAATACTTTTCAAATAGTCCGTAAATTTGCTCCAGTCTTCCGTGAATTTCTGGTCCCGCCGGTTTCGAATCCTTCCTGTTAGTTTATCTAATTCTGCATAGTCCTCGCCCAACCTTTCTCAGATGTAAGTTCTATGGAGTTGACTCCATTACATGGGGCCCAAATGCAGCCAAATGCACTGTACCACAGACTTCACAGGAAAGATGATGTTTTTCTCCCAACAGAGACCACATCATTCATGCAGGTGTTCTGCGAAGTGGTTACAGGCATAAGGGGCAGAGTCATTTGAGGGAGTTGGAGCCACAAACTCTTGGCTATAAGCTGCAATCCCTCTTTTCAATACTTCCCCAGCCAACATGCATTATTCACTAGGGCTTTGTTTTCCTATTTCTGCAAGACTTTGTACAAACGCCAGAATTTTCCCAGACTGGTTAAATAAAATGCATATGTTGGAATTCTTTCTTAGGCATTGAAAGTTGCGGGGAGAGCTCGTGAAAGTCGGGGAATCCCGGTGACTCACACCTGTGTTAATTATTTTTAGCGGGCCTTGGATTTAGTCAATGAGAATTATTATCCTGTGGGGATTGTGAATACAATGGGAACAGGAAACTTTAAAAGAGCATTTCTATGCTGATATTATCTCACTGCTTCAGGACACAAGATTTACTTAATTGCAGCCAAGAAAGTTTTGGATTACCCTCTTTGCAAGAGGCAGCCTGCGAGTCTCAGCTATCAAGGGGAAGATTCCTTGGACGGCTCTTTCTTTTCAGATATGTGCCTTATCCACACAATTATGTTCAGGAGGAGGAAGTTTGTCCTGATGAAAGTGGTTTCCAAACACTCCAAGCGGAGCCTAAAATTAAATTCAGAGTGTTGGAATCCAGGATGGGGAGCGCCGTCAAATAGCTTATCTTTGCAGATTCCGTCCCACCTTTTCTTGGTGAAAGAAAAATGGCAAAGCTTTCCCCAACCTGGTGCCCTCCAGCTGTATTGGACTATAACTGCTTAGGACAGTGTTCAGGGATGATGGGAATTGACCGAAAACAGCTGGAGACCCAAGTTTGGGAAACAGTGGTTTAGGATCAGCTTACCAGAAGGGTCACCTTGTCCCTTATACAGTGGTACCTCGGGTTACATACGCTTCAGGTTACAGACTCTGCTAACCCAGAAATAGTACCTCAGGTTAAGAACTTTGCTTCAGGATGAGAACAGAAATCGTGCTCCGGCGGCACGGCGGCAGCAGGAGGCCCCATTAGCTAAAGTGGTGCTTCAGGTTAAGAACAGTTTCAGGTTAAGAATGGACCTCTGGAACGAATTAAGTACGTAACCAGAGGTACCATTGTATGCCTCTCAGATCACTGTGAATAACTGGAGAACCCTCCTGACTGTCGCACACTTCTTCCCATTTGCTTTCTGTATGTACGAACTAAGGCTCTTAACATGGCAGCACAAGTATTTTTGAATACTGCTCCCGTTGAAACCTACCATTTTGATATTTAATGGCCTGCTGAAAACCTTTTCGTTGCCCCAAATGTTCTTAGGAGAATTGATTTGATTCAGTGTTGGCCACTTGTTCTGTATTTTATGATTTTGGAATTTGGGGGTGTTTTCATGATCCTGCCATTGACTGCCAAGATATTTTATTTCTTGCTGTTGGCAGCTTGTGAATATTATCATACATGATTAAGCTCTCATCAGTTCCAACTGACACAGAGGCATTACTTCCAAACAGCTCAGCATGTCTCTCAGGGAACGATCAGTGGCAGATCATGTGGTCAACAATCAGGCTGGTAGATGGATTCCAGAGGAGGTTGACAAGGACTCACAGGGCCAGAGGCAGATGACATGGTCTTAACAATGGACTGGCTGGTGATCAACTTCCAGTGGGGTAGGAAGGCTAATCTGTTACCCCTTTCACTATTGGACAAGCTGTTCTGACTGAGGAACTAAGCAACAATTCTATAGGGCCAGCTGGGTTTTCAGGTCACCTGGTCTGGCTGGGGTTCAAGGCTCATTTGATTCAGTTCATGTTTAAGGGCAAATTTAAGGCCACACTTTCCAAAACAATAGACAAACCGAAACACAGCCACCCTTTGAAATTCACACATCTCTGAACTTTGCAATGCAAAATTCAAGTCATGTTTACAAAATGCACAAACCACAGAACCATATAAATACATACATTGGTGAAAATGACACACAAAATGCATTATATTAGGGAAAGCTGCTTTACAAAAATGTGCCTATTAGGGAAGTTGCATAAAATTGTGTACCTTAGGGGAAATTTGCAATTAAACTTCTGATGAATTTTCATGGGCGCTTAAATAAATTGCGAACTGTTACAAGAATGTGGAGAACTGAACTTAAGATTGGAAAAAACGAGAAACAGAGAGAAATTGAAACTGACAGATTTGCCCATCCTTACTCTTTATGGTAATGCGGGTGGCACTGTGGGTTAAACCACAGAGCCTAGGACTTGCCGATCAGAAGGTCCGTGGTTCAAATCCCCGCGACGGGGTGAGCTCCCCTTGCTCTGTCCCTGCTCCTGCCAACCTAGCAGTTCAAAAGCATGTCAAAGTGCAAGTAGATAAATAGGTACCGCTCCGGCGGGAAGGTAAACGGCATTTCCGTGCACTGCTCTGGTTCTCCAGAAGCAGCTTAGTCATGCTAGCCACATGACCCGGAAGCTGTACGCCGGCTCCCTCGGCCAATAAAGCGAGATGAGCACCGCAACCCCAGAGTCAGTCACGACTGGACCTAATGGTCAGGGGTCCCTTTACCTTTACTCTTTATGGTTCCTTAAGCTAGACCTGGACTGGACAGTCCTCAGATAGAGAACACCTTCAGAAGACTTTCCTTTTATAAAAGCCCTTTAAAATATAGCCCCTTCCTCTGTGAAATAGGTCCTATGGTCATCCTCAGTAAAATCTGCCCCCCCCCCAGGCCTCAGCACTACTCACCTGGCATAATATAGTTTTACTGGTCATTGAATACCAGCCAACAGATAGACAACATATTCACAGCTTAGCCTCCTAGTCTCATAGGAACACTAGTGATACTCCATTAGGCCTCTCCTCAAAGACTCCAACCTCCTCCAAGCAAGGCTAAAGGATCTAAAATGCAGAACAAAACAAAAATAAATCTGAAAACCAAGACGGCTGCATTCTCCAGGTGAAGTCATGTGTGATGGATTTTTTTTTTTTTTTGGAGGGGGCTAATTATTTCAAGAATCAGGCAGCCCCT